TAAGATTGAAATATAGCAAAACAATATTCATTAATAGCGAATATTGTTGGTAGATCTTTTGTGGAGCCTCCGAGACGCCTTTCATCAAAGCTACTCTCGTCTGATCCGCGCAACGCTACCATGGCGGCCAAGTTACGCTTTTCAGTATAGAATAAAAGATTATAACAAAGGTTATCTCGTGTCTGATAAAAAGAAAACGTTTGGTAATTTGACTGTAAATCTCCGAGTGCTAAATTACTCGTTTCTGTTGTCACCTCTCGTTGCGCTTATGTTATTTTATTGCAAATATTACGCAATAAATATACAGGAAAATTCGCGCCATGTTGCTTTCAGTATTCAATCGATTGTCGTCTGGTTTTCTTCAATTGTTCAGCCATTTATTAATATGGAGCTTCTGTGAAGCGATCTTTTGTTTACGACCGGTTCTGTCATGAATACGTGTGGAATAGAGATATTGATTCATAAATGCCATTATTATTATTAAATATATTTGTATGCGTGAGTATTTAGGGGTATATGTGCGTGCATGAACGCATTTGGTTAGTAATATATATATATATATATATATATATATATATATATATATATATATATATATATATATATATATATATATATATATATATATATATATATATTCATTGGTTTCTTAGTACAGAAATTTAAAGATAAATATGTGCATAAAATAATGTGCCCATAGTATGTATATATATATATATATATATATATATATATATATATAGAAAAAGTTTCAAATTAAAAATAATAATGTTTTATTTTATGAAAGTATTTATTTATTTGTATATATATATTTGATATTTCAAATTGTCCTCAATTTTTCATCAGAAATAACTGTTTGTTACAAATAAATTAAAATTACTGTTTGTTAGCAAGTAGCGTCCTTCGCGAGACGCGGACGTCACGTGATATGGAACGTCACTGTTCGGATATTCCTAAACTTAAATCTAACTGTCATAAATATTTTAAATGTTGTTAAAAAAATTTTTTACTATATCTAAAAAAAAATTGCTTAACTATTGAAATATTTATAAAAGATTTAAACACCTAAGTCCCTATTCAACCCTAGTTATATATATATATATATATATATATATATATATATATATATATATATATATATATATATATATATATATATATATATGTGTGTGTGTGTGTCTGTGTCTTTTGAACAATAAAAATATTGAAAAATTAAAATTTTCAGAGACACTGGGTTGTATATCAATATTTTTTTGTTTTATTATTTCAATGACGTTCCTTGACTAATTTCGGTCAACAGGGCCATTAGTAGGAGAAAATATTCCTGCTTGTTAGAATCAGTGAACTACAGGTATGAATGGATTCTCTGAAGAAAATGAACTTTATCTGTAGTTTTCATTTGTTTTTATCATTAACCTGTGAACAACAGTAGTTAAAAGGTGGTTCCACGCTCCTCAAATCCTCCGATGAGAAGACTTTTTCTGCCGGATGTTGTTTACCATCATGCCCAAGACACACGGTTCCGTATAGGATGCAGGTTCGAATTCTGTCAAAGGACGAATATTTTCTATGAAAATTTCTCGGACATTCAGGCCGGTAAATGTTATTTAATAGTGTTTATTATAAACAGAGCATTTACTTGAATACTTGTATCTATAAAAAAGAACGTTAAACATAAAAATGTCTTTAATAAATATATATATTGTGTGTATTTAGGCAGCATATTTTCATTTATACACGTTTCATTAAATAATATAGACAAATGTTGTCTATTTATTTTATGTAAATTTTTTTCATAACATCTGATAAGTTTAATAACATTATCGTTAAACGAAGAAAGAAATTCACAATATTGATCCATATTTTTTTAATATAATCTAAGCTTTCGGCTTACTTAAGCCATTATCAAAGATGTAAATTACAAACATATTAAACAATATACGAAAGCTTAGATTAATCAACTGACAAAGACCAACTGCTATTTATACTGTAAATAAGCTAAAGTATTATAAAAGCTAACCAAAGTACCAAGAAACAGTAAATTTCTGTTGGAAACAGGGAAAGGAATATTAAACTGCTATGTCACTCCTCCTGTATAGCAGAGAGTGCTGCGCGATCTCTTCAAAGACGAAGTGGTAACAGAAAATTGTTTCTACAGAAATATGCTGAGAATGCACACCAAACAGTGACCTTTTCCGGATGTAGTGGCTTTTCAAAATCTTCCTAGGATTTTCATCATGCGACAATTTTGGTTATTAACGAATCCACCAAGATGAAAATGGGTTTTATCACTAAAGAGAATTTCCTGCGAAAAATCTTCATCGGTTTGTCTTTGATCGTGCGCCCAACTGACGAATGTACGTCGCTCTAAATGGTCAGCAAGTTTCAGTTCTTGTGTCAATTAAATTTTGTAAGCGTGTAGAGACAAATCTTTTGTCAAAATTCGACGTAAAGTTGCTGTGGAAAGTTTCAATTCATGCGCGCGATGACGAATAGAAGTGTTTGGATTTTCGGCCATATTCTCGTGCACTGCAGCAATGTTGTCAGCTGAACGGCATAAACGATCACGTAGTGGTGTTTTCACATCTGCCACCGACAAAGTTTGTTTGAATTTACGAACAATTTTTCCAATTACACTCTTGAAACTTTAACGCGTTGTTTGATTGTTAATCTTTCCATGGTTGAAATTGCCAAAGACTTAAGTTGTTAAATCTGAAAGAAAAAGAAAAAAAATTATTAGACGATTAAACTTAATTCACATTTAAAATCGGTCTAAATTATTGGAACACCCTTTATAACATGTGTGCCTGTAACTCAGAACAAGAAACGTCTGATTAACAACAAAGATCTGGGGAACATGGAATCCAAATGCAAATTAACATTTAACATGGGTAATGTTGGACAATTTCCTCAAAGACGAAGGAGAGACTCGATGCGACGGAGATGAGGTTCTACAGAAAGATGCTAAGAACTGAGTGTGTGAGCAAATATAAGGTCTTAGAAAGAATGAAAACAAGGATGAGGCTTATACTTAACACCAGGAAGAGGCAGCTGAAGTTTCTGGGACACATAATGAGAAAGGAAGGCCTGGAGAATCTGATACTGACGGGTCGAGTAGAGGAAAAGAGAGACAAGAAAAAACAACGCATGACATACCTAGCGGGCTTAAGCAAGTGGATGATAGAATGTGGTCTGGGGGAGGAAGAAGGAAGGAACTTGTTGAGAGCTGCAAGGGTTAGAAGGAGGTGGAGAGCTATAATCGCCTACGTCCTGAAAAGATACGGCACATAAAAAGAAAAGAATGAATATTTATGGGTCAAAGTAGATTTCTTTGGTACTGAAGAAAAGAATATTGAGCAGTTACGTGACATCTGTCCTCCTTCACGGCAACGATTGTTGGACGATTTCCTCAAAGATGAAAAAGAGACTCGAGGCGACGGAGATGTGGTTGTACAGAATGATGTTAATGATAACTTGGACTGATCGTGTGAGCATCGATGAGGTCTTAGAAAGTTTGAATCAAGGAGGAGGCTTATACTTAACATCAGAAAGAGGCAGCTGAAGTTTCTGGGACACATCATGAGAAAGGAAGGCCTGGAGAATCTGATAGTCACGTGTCGAATAGAGGGAAGGAGAGACAAGGGAAAACAACGTATGACATACCTAGCGGGCTTAAGCAAGTGGATGACAGAACTGGATCTGCGGGGTGGGGAGGAAGAAGAGGAAAGGAACTTGTTGAGAGCTGCAAGGGAAAGAGGGAGGTGGAGAGCCATGATCGCATACATCCTGAAAGGACATAGTACATAAAAAGAAAGAACTGGCAGTTAAGGTTTCTAATAATGTGGAAGGAAGGTTTGGAAAATCTGACACTCACAGGACAGATAAAGCGCAAGAGGTTTTGAGAAAGACAACACATAAAATAAGAAGCTTGAGTAAATGGATAGCGGAGCATGGCTTAGGAGAAATAACAGAAAGAAAAAATTATTAGGAAATTGTAGGGACAGGAAGTTGTGGAGAGCCATGATCGCCTGAGGGGACACGGAACATAAGAAGACGAATAGCACACCCATCTATCAGGGCACCTAGAAAATCACAGGTGCCTTCTGAACCTACAGAGCCAACCTGTGATTTATACTGCAACTAAGCTGCGTGGACCTTAGTTACAGTTTCTGGGATAGCGCGCCTTAATGGATTTAAAATGGGTACATTTTCCGGTTAGGATACGAGTCAATGTCTGAAGCTTGTAAATCAGGACATGCGGACACATGGCACAGTGGATAAAGGCCTTAGTTAGATCCAGTGACAGGACCCAAAGAGTCTGAGTTCAATACCCGGTTAAGGCAGTGGAGAAGTTGGAGAGGAAAATTAACAGGAGATAACTGACATCCATTAAACATAGCACGTGGAACTAGAACAGTGTACCCCAGTGATCGAAATAAAGGGTTCAGTTCGACATTCCAACCACCTGAAGAAGGCCGGCGTGTACACCGGCCGAAACATTGTAATAAATATGGCGACAAAGACGAGGACAATAGTCCGAATAATGTAAATAAAAACCTAATTTATATAATTAATTTGAGGACGAAAATATTATTCTATATAATTAATTTGAGGATAAAAACCTTAGAGAATGTAATTAATTTGGGAATGAAGATCTTATTCTATATAATTAATTTGAGGACAAAAACTTTATTCTGTATAATTAATTTCAATTCTGAAAGATATGAGTAAAAATAATTTCGAACATGCCTCTTATCAATCTTTATCCTAAGTAGATGCAGCTGATTCTAAATTGCTCCTCTAAATATCTAAATGACCAGGGCTGAACTTCCCTCTGACTTAAATCTCACTGATGGACTAATAATTGACTTGTATCCTTCAATATCTTTTTAATCATTTCCAAATAAGCAAAGTACTAAAGACACACAGGCTCAATGGGTTATGCTTCCTGAGTATGAAAATGTGTAAAAGAAAACCATTAATAAGAGATGATATTAAACGATCGGGAATGAGGAGAATAAAAGAATAGGAATGAGGAGAATAAAAGAATAGGAATGAGGAGAATAAAAAACGATGAAAGAGGAGAATGAAAGAACAGGAATGAGGAGAATAAAAGAACAGGAACGAGGAAAATAAAAGAACAGGGATGAGGAGAATAAAAGAACAGGAACGAGGAGAATGAAAGAACAGTAATGAGGAGAATAGAAGAACAGGAACGAGGAAAATAAAAGAACATGGATGAGGAGAATAAAAGACTATGAAAGAGGAGAAAAATAAAAGAACAGGGAAAGAACAGGAATGAGGAGAATAGAAGAACAGGAACGAGGAAAATAAAAGAACATGGATGAGGAGAATAAAAGACTATGAAAGAGGAGAATGAAAGAACAGGAATGAGGAGAATAGAAAAACAGGAACGAGGAAAATAAAAGAACAGGGATGAGGAGAATAAAAGACTATGAAAGAGGAGAATGAAAGAACAGGAATGAGGGGAGAATAGAAGAAGGGAGAAGGAAAATGAGGAGAAAAAGAACAGGGATGAGGAGAATAAAAAGACTATGAAAGAGGAGAATGAAAGAAAGAATGAGGAGAATGAGGAGGAGAAGAAAAAACAGGAATGAGGAAAAGGAAAAAAAAAAGAAGAGGGATGAGGAGAATAAAAGACCATGAAAGAGGAGAATGAAAGAACAGGAATGAGGAGAATAAAAGAAAGGAAGGAAAACAGGAACGAGGAAAAGAAAAAGAACAGGGAGGAAAAATAAAAGAACAGGGATGAGGAGAATAAAAAGACCATGAAAGAGGAGAATGAAAGAACAGGAATGAGAGAATAGGAAGAACAGGAACGAGGAAAACAAAAGAACAGGGATGAGGGGAAGAAAAAAGACCATGAAAGAGGAGAATGAAAGAACAGGAATGAAGGAGAATAGAAGAATAGGAATGAGGAAAATAAAAGAACAGGGATGAGGAGAATAAAAGACCATGAAAGAGGAGAATGAAAGAAAGGGAATGAAGAGAATGAAAAGAACGAGGAAAATGAGGATGAGAAGAATAAAAGAATGAAAGAGGAGAAATGAAAGAACAGAAGAATAGAAGGAACGAGGAAAAAAAAAGAACAGGGATGAGGAGAAGAAAAAAGACCATGAAAGAGGAGAATGAAAGAACAGGAATGAAGAGAATAGAAGAACATGAACGAGGAAAATAAAAAGAACAGGGATGAGGAGAATAAAAGACCATGAAAGAGGAGAATGAAAGAACAGGAATGAAGAGAATAGAAGAATAGGAAAAGAAAAAGAACAAGGATGAGGAGAAGAAAAGAAAAAATGAAAGAACAGGAAGGGATGAGGAGAAAATAAAAGAAAAAGGAGAATAAAAGACATGAAAGAGGAGAATGAAAGAACAGGAATGAAGAGAATAGAAGAATAGGAACGAGGAAAATAAAAGAACAGGGATGAGGAGAATAAAAGACCATGAAAGAGGAGAATGAAAAAGAACAGGAATGAAGAGAATAGAAGAATAGGAAATGAGGAAAATAAAAGAACAGGGATGAGGAGAATAAAAGACCATGAAAAGAGGAGAATGAAAGAAAAAGGAGAATGAAAGAACAGGAAATGAAGGGAGAATAGAAAGAATAGGGAAACGAGGAAAATAAAAGAACAGGGATGAGGAGAATAAAAAGACCATGAAAGAGGAGAATGAAAGAACAGGAATGAAGAGAATAGAAGAATAGGAACGAGGAAAATAGAAAAAGAACAGGGATGAGGAGAATAAAAGACCATGAAAGAGGAGAATGAAAGAACAGGAATGAAGAGAAAGAAGAAATAGAAAATAAAGAACATGAACATGAAAGAGGAGAAATGAAAGAGGAAAAAGAAAAAGAACAGGGATGAGGAGAAGAAAAAAGACCATGAAAGAGGAGAATGAAAGAACAGGAATGAAGAGAATAGAAGAACATGAACGAGGAAAATAAAAGAACAGGGATGAGGAGAATGAAAAGGAGAAAAAGACCATGAAAGAGGAAAATAAAAGAACAGGAGAATGAAGAGAGAATAGGAACATGAATGAGGAAAATAAAAGAAAAAAGAGAAAAGAGGAGAATGAAAGAACAGGAATGAAGAGGAAAGGAAAATAAAAGAACAGGGAATGAATGGAGAATAGAAAAAGAACGAGGAAAATAAAAGAACAGGGATGAGGAGAAAGACCATGAAAGAGAATGAAAGAACAGGAATGAAAGAAGAATAGAAGAACATGAAAAAGGAAAATAAAAGAACAGGGATGAGGAGAATAAAAGACCAATGAAAGAGGAGAATGAAAGAACAGGAATGAAGAGAATAGAAGAACATGAACGAGGAAAAAAAAAAGAACAGGGATGAGGAGAATAAAAGACCATGAAAAGAGGAGAATGAAAGAACAGGAATGAAGAGAATAGGAAGAACATGAACGAGGGAAAATAAAAGAACAGGTATGAGGAGAATAAAAGACCATGAAAGAGGAGAATGAAAGAACAGGAATGAGGAGAATAGAAGAACAGGAACGAGGAAAATAAAAGAACAGGGATGAGGAGAATAAAAAGAACCATGAAAGAGGAGAGAATGAAAGAACAGGAATGAAGAGAATAGAAGAACATGAACGAGGAAAAAAAAGAATAAAAAAAAGGAACAGGGATGAAGGAGAATAAAAGACCATGAAAGAGGAGAATGAAAGAACAGGAATGAAGAGAATAGGGAAGAACATGAATGAGGAAAAATGAAAGAAAAAGAACAGGGATGAGGAGAATAAAAGACCATGAAAGAGGAGAATGAAAGAACAGGAATGAAGAGAATAGAAGAACAGAATGAGGAAAATAAAAAGAACAGGGATGAGGAGAATAAAAGACCATGAAAGAGGAGAATGAAAGAACAGGAAATGAAGAGAATAGAAGAACATGAACGAGGAAAATAAAAGAACAGGGATGAGGAGAATAAAAGACCATGAAAGAGGAGAATGAAAGAACAGGAATGAAGAGAATAGAAGAACATGAACGAGGAAAATAAAAGAACAGGGATGAGGAGAATAAAAGACCATGAAAGAGGAGAATGAAAGAACAGGAATGAAGAGAATAGAAGAACATGAACGAGGAAAATAAAAGAACAAGGGATGAGGGAGAATAAAAAGACCAGGAAAAGAGGAGAATGAAAAGAACAGGAATGAAGAGAATAGAAGAACAGGAAATGAGGAAAATAAAAGAACAGGGATGAGGAGAATAAAAGACCATGAAAAGGAGAATGAAAGAACAGGAATGAAGAGAATAGAAGAACATGAACGAGGAAAATAAAAAAGAACAGGGATGAGGAGAATAAAAGACCAAGGAAAGAGGAGAATGAAAGAACAGGGAATGAAGAGAATAGAAGAACATGAACGAGGAAAATAAAAGAACAAGGATGAGGAGAATAAAAAAGACCATGAAAGAGGAGAATGAAAGAACAGAAAATGAAGAGAATAGAAGAACATGAACGAGGAAAATAAAAGAACAGGGATGAGGGAGAAAGGAAAAAAAGAACAGGAATGAAGAGAAAGAGGAGAATGAAAGAATAAAGGAATGAAGAGAATGAAAGAAAGAATGAAGAGAATAGAAGGAAAATAAAAGAACAGGGATGAGGAGAATAAAAAGACCAAGGAAAGAATGAAAAAAGAACAGGAAAATGAAGAGAGAAAGAAGAACATGAACGAGGAAAATAAAAGAACATAGGATGAAGGAGAATAAAAGACCATGAAAGAGGAGAATGAAAGAACAGGAATGAAGAGAATAGAAGAAGAACATGAACGAGGAAAATAAAAGAAAATAAAAAGGGATGGGGAGAATAAAAAAGACGAGGAAATAAAAATGAAAGAGGAGAATGAAAGACCAACAGGGAGAATGAAAGAGGAATGAAGAGAATAGAAGAACATGAACGAGGAAAATAAAAGAACAAGGATGAGGAGAATAAAAGACCATGAAAGAGGAGAATGAAAGAACAGGAATGAAGAGAAAGAAGAAACATGAACGAGGAAAATAAAAAGAACAGGGGATGAAAAGGAGAATGAAAAAAGAACCAAGAAAGAGGAAAAATAAAAGAAAAGAACAGGAATAAAAGACCAGAAGAGAATAGAAGAAAAGATGAACGAGGAAAATAAAAGAAAGGGATGAGGAGGATGAAAAAAGGGAGAATAAAAGAACAGGAATGAAGAGAAGAAAGAACAGAAAAATAAAAGAGAAAGGGAAAGAATGAAGGAAAAGAGGAAAAAGAACGAGGAAAATAAAAAAGAGGGATGAGGAATAAAAGAATGAAAAAGAGAGAAGAAAAAGAACATGAATGAGGAAAATAAAAGAATAAAAGACCAGGAGAATGAAAGAACAGGAAGAGAATAGAAAAAGAACAGGAAAAATAAAAGAGGGGATGAGGAGAATAAAAGAATGAAAGAACAGGAAGAGAATAGAAGAATAGAATGAGAAAAAAAAGAAAGGGATGAGGAGAATAGAATGGAAAGAATAAAAGAACAATGAACGAGGAAAATAAAAGAACAGGGATGAGGAGAAGAAAAAAGACCATGAAAGAGAAAAAAAAAAGAAAAAGAAATAAAGAATGAAGAGAATAAAGAACATGAATGAGGAAAATAAAAGAACAGGGAATGAGGAGAATAAAAACCATGAAAAGAGAGGAAAGAATAAAAGAAAGGGATGAAGGAAAAAAAATAAAAAACAGGGAAAGAATAAAAAGACCATGAAAGAGGAGAATGAAAAGAACAGGAATGAAGAGAATATAAAAGAACATGAACGAGGAAAATAAAAGAACAGGGATGAGGAGAATAAAAGACCATGAAAGAGGAGAATGAAAATAAAAGAACAAAAATGAAGAGAATAGAAGAACATGAACGAGGAAAATAAAAGAACAGGGATGAGGAGAATAAAAGACCATGAAAGAGGAGAATGAAAGAACAGGAATGAAGAGAATAGAAAGAACATGAACAGAGGAAAAATAAAAAGAACAGGGGATGAGGAGAATAAAAAGACCATGAAAGAGGAGAATGAAAGAACAGGAATGAAGAGAATAGAAGAAATGAATGAGGAAAAAAAAAAAAGAAAAGGGAGAATAAAAGAATGAAAAGAGGAGAATGGAGGAATGAAGAGAAAGAAGAACAAAAAGAATGAGGGAAAATAAAAAGAACAAGGAGAGGAAAAAAAAAGAGAAAATAAAAAGAAAGAGGAGAATGAAAGAACAGGAAAAAGAGAAAGAACATGAAATGAGGAAAATAAAAGAACAGGGATGAGGAGAGACCAAAAATAAAAGAACAGGAAAGAAAGAGAATGAAAAGAACAGAAATGAAGAGAAGGAAAATAAAAGAACAGGGATGAGGAGAATAGAAAAAGAAAAGAAATGAGGGAATGAAAGAACAGAATGAAGAGAAAAAAGAACATGAACGAGGAAAAAAAAAAGAAAAAGAAAGAGAAAATAAAAGAACAGGAATAGAAGAACATGAACGAGGAAAAAAATAAAAGAACAGGGATGAAGAATAAAAAGACCATGAAAGAGGAGAATGAAAGAACAGGAATGAGGAGAAAAATAAAAGAACGAGGGAACAGGGATGGGAGAATAAAAAAGACCATGAAAGAGGAGAATGAAAAGAACAGGAATGAAGAGAATAGAAGAACATGAATGAGGAAAATAAAAGAACAGGGATGAGGAGAATAAAAGACCATGAAAGAGGAGAATGAAAGAACAGGAATGAAGAGAATAGGAAGAACATGAACGAGGAAAATAAAGAACAAGGATGAGGAGAATAAAAGAACCAAGGGAAAGAGGAGAATGAAAGAATAGAAAGGAATGAAGAGAATAGAAGAACATGAATGAGGAAAATAAAAGAACAGGGATGAGGAGAATAAAAGACCATGAAAAGAGGAGAATGAAAGAACAGGAATGAAGAGAATAGAAGAACATGAACGAGGAAAATAAAAAGAACAGGGATGAGGAGAATAAAAGACCATGAAAAGGAGAATGAAAGAACAGGAATGAAAGAAAGAAGGAACGAGGAAAATAAAAGAACAGGGATGAGGAGAATGAAAGAAGAAAGAACAGGAATGAAGAGGAAGAAATGAACGAGGAAAAAAAAAGAACAGGGATGAGGAGAAGAAAAGATGAAAGAGGAGAATAAAAAAAGAAGGAGAATGAACATGAATGAGGAAAAATAAAAGAAGAGAATAGAAGAGGATGAACGAGGAAAATAAAAGAACAGGGAGGGAGGAGAATAAAAGACCATGAAAGAGGAGAATGAAAGAACAGGAATGAAGAGAATAGAAGAATATGAACGAGGAGGAAAATAAAAGAACAAAAATGAAGAGGAGAAGAAAGAACGAGGAAAATAAAAGAACAAGGAAGATAAAAAGGGAGGAGAATGAAAGAACAGGAATGAAGAGAATAGAAAGGGAAAAGGAAGAGGAAAATAAAGAAAAGAGGAGAAGGGAATGAGGAAAATAAAAGAAAAAAGAAAGGGATGGGAGGAAAAAAAAAGACCATGAAAGAAGAGAATGAAAAGAACGAGGAAATAAAAGAACAGAGGAAGAGAATAAAAATATGAAAGAGGAGAATGAAAAAAAACAGGGAAAATAGGAAAAAGAACAGGAAAATAAAAGGATGAGGAGAATAAAAGACCATGAAAGAGGAGAATGAAAGAACAGGAATGAAGAGAATAGAAGAACATGAACGAGGAAAAATAAAAGAAAACAAGGGATGAGAGGAGAATAAAAGACCATGAAAGAGGAGAATGAAAGAACAGGAATGAAGAGAATAGAAGAACATGAATGAGGAAAATAAAAGAACAGGGATGAGGGAGAATAAAAGACCATGAAAGAGGAGAATGAAAGAAACAGGAATGAAGAGAAAGAAAGGAACGAGGAAAATGAACAGGGGAAAATAAAAAAAGAACAGGGAAAACAAATGAGGAGAAAAGAAGAGAAAGAACAAAATGAAGAGAAAAGAAAAAAGAACAATGAGGAGAATAAAGAGGAGAGAATGAAAGAACAGGAAATGAAGAGATCGAAGAAAGAACATGAATGAGGAAAAAAAAAAGAACAAAAAGGATGAGGGGAGAAAAGAAGAAAATGAAAGAGGAAATGAAAAGAAGAGGAATGAAAGAAGAGAAGAAAGAAGAAAAAAGAAAAAAGAATAAGGATGAGGAGAATAAAAGAAATATGAATGAAAGAACAGGAATGAAAGAACAGGAGAAAGAAAATAAAAGAACAGGGATGAGGAAAAAATGAAAGAGGAGAAAAGAAAGGGATGAGAGAAAAAAAAGAAGAAAAAGAGGAAAATAAAAGAAAAGAACAGGGAATGAAAGAGGGAATGAAGAGAAGAAGAACAGAATGAGGAAAATAAAAGAAACAGGGATGAGGAGAATAAAAGACCATGGAAAGAGGAGAATGAAAGAACAGGAATGAAGAGAATAGAAGAATATGAATGAGGAAAAAATAAAAGAACAAGGATGAGGGAGAATAAAAAAGACCATGAAAGAGGAGAATGAAAGAACAGGAATGAAAGAGAATAGAAAACATGAATGAGGAAAATAAAAGAAGGGATGAGGGATAAAAGAGAAAGAGGAGAAAAAGAACAAAATGAAGAGAAGAAGAAATGAAAGAAAAGGAATGAGGGAGAATAAAAGAGAAAAGGAAAGAGGAGAATGAAAGAACAGGAAGAGAAAGAAAAAATGAAAAAAGATAAAGGATGAGGAGAATAAAAGACCATGAAAGAGGAGAATGAAAAGAACAGGAATGAAGAGAATAGAAGAACATGAATGAGGAAAATAAAAGAACAGGGATGGGGAGAATAAAAGACCATGAAAGAGGAGAATGAAAGAACAAAAATGAAGAGAATAGAAGAACATGAATGAGGGAAAATAAAAGAACAGGGATGAGGAGAATAAAAAGACCATGAAAGAGGAGAATGAAAGAACAGGAATGAAGAGAATAGAAGAACATGAATGAGGAAAATAAAAGAACAGGGATGAGGAGAATAAAAGACAAAATGAAAGAGGAGAAAAAGAACAGGAATGAAAGAGAATAGAAAACAAATGAGGAAAATAAAAGAAGAAGGATGAGGAGAATAAAAGACCATGAAAGAGGAGAATGAAAGAAAAGGAATGAAGAGAAAAGAATGGAATAAAAGAACAGGAAAGAGGAGAAAAAAGAAAAGAAAAGAGGAGAATGAAAGAACAGGAATGAAGAGAAAGAAGAACAGGAATGAGGAAAATAAAAGAACAGGGATGAGGAGGAGAAAAAAAGACCATGAAAGAGGAGAATGAAAGAACAGGAATAGAAGAAGAGAATGAAAAAATAAAAAGAAAGGGATGAGGAGAATAAAAAGAATGAAAGAGGAAAAATGAAAAGAACAGGAAAAAAATGAGAGGAAATAAAAAAAAAATGAAAAAGAAAGAGGAGAAATAAAAGAACAGGAATGAAGAGAAGAAGGAACGAGGAAAAATAAAAGAACAGGGATGAGGAGAATAAAAGACCAATGAAAGAGGAGAATGAAAGAACAGGAATGAAGAGAATAGAAGAACATGAATGAGGAAAATAAAAAAACAAAAAAAAAAAGGGATGAGGGAGAATAAAAGACCATGAAAGAGGAGAATGAAAGAACAGGGAATGAAGAGAAAGAAGAACATGAATGAGGAAAATAAAAGAACAGGGATGAGGAGAATAAAAGACCATGAAAGAGGAGAATGAAAGAACAGGAATGAAGAGAAAGAAGAAAAGAAAAAAATAAAAGAACAGGGATGAGGGAGAATAAAAACAATGAAAGAGAGAAAAAGAAAGAGGAAAGAAAAAGAAGAATGAGGAAAATAAAAGAACCAGGATGAGGAGAATAAAAGAAAGAAAAGGAGAGAATGAAAGAACAGGAATGAAGAGAATAAAAGAACATGAATGAGGAAAATAAAAGAACAGGGATGAGGAGAAAAAAGACCAGGAAAGAGGAGAATGAAAGAATAGGAATGAAGAGAATAGAAGAAAGAACATGAATGAGGAAAATAAAAAAGAACAGGGATGAGGAGAATAAAAGACAAAATGAAAGAGGAGAATGAAAGAACAGGAATGAAAGAGAATAGAAGAACATGAATGAGGAAAAAAAAAGAACAGGGATGAGGAGAATAAAAGACCATGAAAAGAGGAGAATGAAAAGAACAGGAATGAAGAGAATAGAAGAACATGAATGAGGAAAATAAAAGAACAAGGGATGAGGAGAATAAAAGACCATGAAAGAGGAGAATGAAAGAACAGGAATGAAGAGAATAGAAGAACATGAATGAGGAAAAATAAAAGAACAGGGATGAGGAGAAAAAAAAGACCATGAAAGAGGAGAATGAAAGAACAGGAAAATGAAGAGAATAGAAGAACATGAAGAGGAAAAATAAAAAGAACAGGGATGAGGAGAATGAAAAGACCATGAAAGAGGAGAATGAAAAAAAGGAATGAAGAGAATGAGAAGAACATGAATGAGAATAGAAAATGAAAAAAAACAAGGATGAGGAGAATAAAAGACAATGAAAGGAGAATGAAAGAACAGGAATGAAGAGAATAGAAGAACATGAATGAGGAAAATAAAAAGAACAGGGATGAGGAGAAGAAAATAAAAGAAAAGGAGAATGAAAGAACAGGAATGAAGAGAATAAAGAACAGAATGAAAAAAAAGAACAGGGATGAGGAGAATAAAAGAACAGGAAAGAGGAGAAAAAAAGAACAGGAATGAAGAGAAAGAAGAAAATGAACCAGGAAAATAAAAGAAAAGGGAGGGGAGAATAAAAAGACAATGAAAGAGGAGAATGAAAGAAATAAAAATGAAGAGAAAATAGAAGAACAAGGATGAGGGAATGAGGAAAATAAAAGAACAGGGATGAGGAGAATAAAAGACCATGAAAGAGGAGAAGAGAGAAAACAGGAATGAAAGAGAATGAAAGAAGAAGAAATGAACGAGGAAAGGAAAAAAAAGAAGGGATGAGGAGAATAAAAGACCATGAAAGAGGAGAATGAAAGAACAGGAAATGAAGAGAATAGAAGAACATGAACGAGGAAAAAATAAAAGAACAGGGATGAGGAGAATAAAAGACCATGAAAGAGGAGAATGAAAGAACAGGAAATGAAGAGAATAGAAGAACATGAATGAGGAAAATAAAAGAACAAGGATGAGGAGAATAAAAGAAATGAAAGAGGAGAATGAAAGAACAGGAATGAAGAAGAAGAAGAACATGAATGAGGAAAATAAAAGAACAGGGATGAGGAGAATAAAAAGACCATGAAAGAGGAGAATGAAAGAACAGGAATGAAGAGAATAGAAGAACATGAACGAGGAAAATAAAAGAACAGGGATGAGGGAGAATAAAAAGACCATGAAAGAGGAGAATGAAAGAACAAAAATGAAGAGAATAAAGAAGAAAATGAACGATAAAAAAATAAAAGAACAAAATAAAAGAGGGATGAAAAGAAAATAAAAAGAACAGGATGAAAGAGGAGAATGAAAAGAACAGGATAGAAGAGAATGAGGAAAAAAAAAAGAAAAATGAGAAAAAATAAAAGAAAGGGAATGAAGAGGAAGAATAAAAGAAAACAAAAGAAAAGAGGAGAAAAAAAAACAGGAAAAGAGAATAGGAAGAAGATGAACAGAGGAAAATAAAAGAAAAGAGGGAAAATAAAAGAACAGGGATGAGGAGAATAAAAGAACATGAAAGAAAGAATGAGAAAATAAAAGAACAGGAATGAGGAAAAATAAAAGAACAGGGGAGGGGAGAATAAAAGAATCAGGAAAAGAGGAAAATGAAAAGAACAGGAATGAAGAGAAAAAAGAACATGAACGAGGAAAATAAAAGAACAGGGATGAGGAGAATAAAAATGAAAGAGGAGAATAAAAGAACAGGAATGAAGGAGAATAGAAGAAGATGAAGAGGAAAATAAAAGAACAGGGATGAGGAGAATAAAAGAACCATGAAAGAGGAGAATAAAAGAACAGGAATGAGGAGAATGAAAGAACAGGAAAATGAAGAGAATAGAAGAACAGGAATGAGGAAAATAAAAGAACAGGGATGAGGAGAATAAAAGAAAGAAAGAGAGAATGAAAGAACAGAATGAGGAAAATAAAAGAATATGGATGAGGAGAATAAAAGACCAGGAAAGAGGAGAATGAAAAGAACAGGAAATGAAGAGAATGAAAGAACAGGAATAAAAGAGAAAGAATGAAAGGAAAAAAAAGAACAGGGATGAGGAGAATAAAAGACCATGAAGAGGAGAATGAAAAGAACAGGAATGAGGAGAATAGAAGAACATGAATGAGGAAAATAAAAGAACAGGATGAGGAGAATAAAAGACCATGAAAGAGAAAATAAAAAGAATGAAAGAACAGGAATGAGGACAAAGAGAATAGAAGAACAGGAAAATAAAAAGAACAAGGATGAGGAGAATAAAAAGAAATGAAAGAGGAGAAATGAAAAGAACAGGAATGAAAGAAGAAAAGAACATGAACGAGGAAAATAAAAGAACAGGGATGAGAGAATAAAAATGAAAGAGGAGAATGAAAGAAGGAATGAAGAGAATAGAAGAACATGAATGAGGAAAAAATAAAAGAACAGGGATGGGGAGAATAAAAGACCATGAAAGAGGAGAATGAAAGAACAGGAATGAAGAGAATAGAAGAACATGAACGAGGAAAATAAAAAGAACAGGGATGAGGAGAATAAAAGACCATGAAAGAGGAGAAGAGAAAGAAAGGAATGAAGGAATAGAAGAAAATGAATGAGAAATAAAAGAACAGGGAAGAGGAGAATAGGAAGAAAATGAAAAAGAGGAGATGAAAAGAACAGGAATGAAGAGAATAGAAGAACATGAACGAGGAAAATAAAAGAACAAGGATGAGGAGAATAAAAGACCATGAAAGAGGAGAATGAAAGAACAGGAATGAAGAGAATAGAAGAACATGAATGAGGAAAATAAAAGAACAGGGATGAGGAGAATAAAAGACAATGAAAGAGGAGAATGAAAGAACTGGAATGAAGAGAATAGAAGAATATGAACGAGGAAAAAAAAAACAGGGAAGGAGAAAAAAAGGATGAGGAAAGAGGAGAATGAAAGAAAGAATGAAGAGAATAGAAGAAAAATAAAGAGAAATAAAAGAACAGAAATGAGGAGAATGAAAGAACAGGAAAGAGGAGAAGAAAAAGAAGGAAGGGATGAGGAGAATAAAAGAAAAAGAATGAATGAGGAGAACAGAAAAGAACAGAAAAAAAAAGAGGAGAATAAAGAACATGAAAGAGGAGAATAAAAGAACAGGAATGAAGAGAATAGAAGAATATGAAAGAGGAAAATAAAAGAACAGGGATGAGGAGAATAAAAGACCATGTGAAAGAGGAAAATAAAAGAACAGGAAATGAGGAGAGAAAAACATGAATGAGAAAAAAAAAGAACAGGAATGAGGAGAATAAAAAAGAAAAGAGGAGAATGAAAGAGAATGAGGAGAACGAACATGAATGAGGAAAATAAAAGAACAGGGATGAGGAGAATAAAAGACCATGAAAGAGGAGAATGAAAGAACAGGAATGAAGAGAATAGAACATGAAAGAATAAAAAGAACAGGGATGAGGAGAATAAAAAATGAAAGAGGAGAATGAAAGAACAGGAATGAAGAGAATAAAAGAACATGAAGAGGAAAAAAAAAAAAGAACAAGGAATGAGGAGAAAGAAAAAGACTAAGAAAGAGGAAAGAAAGAAAGGAAAGGAGAATAGAAGAACATGAACGAGGAAAAAAATAAAAGAACAGGAATGAGGAGAATAAAAGAAAAGAAAGAGGGGAATAAAAGAACAGGAATGAAGAGAAAGAAGAAGGGAAAATAAAAGAACAGGGATGAGGAGAAGACCCAAGGAAAGAGGAGAAAAAAAAAAGAGGAAAGAAAAGAACAGGAAAGGAAAGAGAATAGAAGAACAGGAATGAGGAAAATAAAAGAAAAAATGAGGAATAAAGACCATGAAAGAAAAGAATGAAAGAACAGGAAAAGAGAATAGAAGAACAGGAAAGGAAAATAAAAGAACAGGGAAGGAAATAAAAAGAAGGAAAGAAAATGAAGAACAGAATGAAGAGAATAGAAGAAAAAAGAGGAAAATAAAAGAACAGGGATGAGGAGAATAAAAGAAGAAAGAGGAGAATGAAAGAACAGGAATGAAGAGAATAGAAGAACAGGAACGAGGAAAAAAAAGAACAGGGATGAGGAGAATAAAAGCTTAGAAAGAGGAGAATGAAAGAACAGGAAGAGAGAATAGAAAACATGAACGAGGAAAATAAAAGAACAGGGATGAGGAGAATAAAAAGAAGAAAGAGGAGAATGAAAAGAACAGGAATGAAAGAATAGAAGAACATGAATGAGGAAAAAAAAGAACAGGGATGAGGAGAATAAAAGACCATGAAAGAGGAGAATGAAAGAACAGGAATGAAGAGAATAGAAGAAATGAACGAGGAAAATAAAAGAACAGGGATGAGGAGAATAAAAGACCAAGAAAGAGGAGAATGAAAGAACAGGAATGAAGAGAATAGAAAGAACATGAATGAGGAAAATAAAAGAACAGGGATGAGGAGAATAAAAATGAGAAAAGAGAGAATGAAAGAACAGGAATGAAGAGAATAGAAGAACATGAACGAGGGAAAATAAAAAGAACAGGGATGAGGGGAGAATAAAAGACCAATGAAAGAGGAGAATGAAAGAACAGGAATGAAGAGAATAGAAGAATAGGAATGAGGAAAAAAAGGAACAGGGGAGGAGAATAAAAGAAGGAAAGAGGAGAATGAAAGAACAGGAAATGAGGAGAATAGAAGAAAAGAACGAGGAAAATAAAAGAACAGGGATGAGGAGAATAAAAGAAGAAAGAGGAGAATGAAAGAACAGGAATGAGGAGAATAGAAGAACAGGAACGAGGAAAATAAAAGAACAGGGATGAGGAGAATAAAAGACTATGAAAGAGGAGAATGAAAGAACAGGAATGAGGAGAATAGAAGAACAGGAACGAGGAAAATAAAAGAACAGGGATGAGGAGAATAAAAGACCATGAAAGAGGAGAATGAAAGAACAGGAATGAAGAGAATAGAAGAACATGAACGAGGAAAATAAAAGAACAGGGATGAGGAGAATAAAAGACCATGAAAGAGGAGAATGAAAAGAAAGGAATGAGGAAGAGAAAGAAGAAGGAATGAGGAAAATAAAAGAAAGGGATGAGGAGAATAAAAGAAAATGAAAGAGGAGAATGAAAAGAACAGGAATGAAGAGAATAGAAGAACATGAACGAGGAAAATAAAAGAACAGGGATGAGGGATGAGAAAGAAGAAAAAATAGGAAAAGAATGAGAAAAAAGAACAGGAATGAAGAGAAGGAAAGAAGAACATGAATGAGGGAAATAAAAAAAGGGATGAGGAGAATAAAAGATGAAAGAGAGAATGAAAAAAACAGGAATGAAGAGAATAGAAGAAATGAATGAGGAAAATAAAAGAACAGGGATGAGGAGAATCAAAAAGACCATGAAAGAGGAGAATGAAAGAACAGGAAATGAAGAGAATAGAAGAAATGAACGAGGAAAATAAAAGAACAGGGATGAGGAGAATAAAAGACCATGAAAGAGGAGAATGAAAAGAACAGGAATGAAGAGAATAGAAGAACATGAACGAGGAAAATAAAAGAACAGGGATGAGGAGAATAAAAGACCATGAAAGAGGAGAATGAAAGAACAGGAATGAAGAGAATAGAAGAACATGAACGAGGAAAATAAAAGAACAGGGATGAGGAGAATAAAAGACCATGAAAGAGGAGAATGAAAGAACAGGAATGAAGAGAATAGAAGAACAGGAACGAGGAAAATAAAAGAACAGGGATGAGGAGAATAAAAGACCATGAAAAGGAGAAGGAGGAATGAAAGAAGAAGAAATGAGGAGAAAAATAAAAGAACAGGATGAGGAGAATAAAAAATAAAAGAGGAGAATGAAAAGAAAAAGACAAGAAAGAGGAGAATGAAAAAATAAAAGAACAAGGAAATGAGAAAAATGAAAGAACAGGAATGAGGAAATAAAAGAAAAGGGGATGAGGAATGAAAAATAAGAGGATGAAAGAGGAGAGGAGAAAGAACAGGAACGAAGAAAATAGAATAAACAGGAATGAGGAAAATAAAAGAACAGGGATGAGGAGAATGAAAAGAACAGGAAAAGAGGAGAATGAAAGAACAGGAATGAGGAGAATAGAAGAACAGGAATGAGGAAAATAAAAGAACAGGGATGAGGAGAGAATAAAAAGGAAAAGGAGGAAAAAGAACAGGAATGAAGAGAATAGAAGAACATGAACGAGGAAAATAAAAGAACAGGGATGAGGAGAATAAAAGACCAATGAAAGAGGAGAATGAAAGAACAGGAATGAAGAGAGAAGAATATGAACGAGGAAAATAAAAGAACAGGGATGAGGAGAATAAAAGAATGAAAGAGGAGAATGAAAGAACAGGGAATGAAGAGAATAGAAGAACATGAACGAGGAAAAAAAGAACAGGGATGAGGAGAATAAAAGAATGAAAAGAGGAGAATGAAAGAACAGGAATGAAGAGAAAGAAGAACATGAATGAGGAAAATAAAAGAACAGGGATGAGGAGAAGAAAAGAATGAAAGAAAGAGGAGAATGAAAGAACAGGAATGAAGAGAATAGAAGAACATGAAGAGGAAAATAAAAGAACAAGGATGAGGAGAATAAAAATAAAGAGGAGAGGAGAAAAGAACAAAACAGAAAAAAAATAGAAGAATATGAATGAGGAAAATAAAAGAACAGGGATGAGGAGAATAAAAGACAATGAAAGAGGAGAATGAAAGAACAGGAATGAAGAGAATAGAAGAACAGGAACGAGGAAAAATAAAAGAACAGGGATGAGGAGAATAAAAAGACCATGAAAAATAAAGAGAATGAAAGAACAGGAATGAAGAGAATAGAAGAACATGAACGAGGAAAATAAAAGAACAGGGATGAGGAGAATAAAAGACCATGAAAGAGGAGAATGAAAGAACAGGAATGAAGGAGAATAGAAGAACATGAACGAGGAAAATAAAAGAACAGGGATGAGGAGAATAAAAAAGACCTGAATGAAAGAGGAGAATGAAAGAACAGGAATGAAGAGAAGAACATGAATGAGGAAAATAAAAAGAACAGGGATGAGGAGAATAAAAGACTATGAAAGAGGGAGAATGAAAGAACAGGAATGAAGAGAAAGAAGAACATGAACGAGGAAAATAAAAGAACAGGGATGAGGAGAATAAAAGACCATGAAAAGGAGAATGAAAGAACAGGAATGAGGAGAATAGAAGAACATGGAACGAAAAAAAAATAAAAGGGATGAGGAGAATAAAAGACCATGAAAGAGGAGAATGAAAGAACAGGAATGAGGAGAATAGAAGAACAGGAACGAGGAAAATAAAAGAACAGGGATGAGGAGAATAAAAGACTATGAAAGAGGAGAATGAAAGAACAGGAATGAAGAGAATAGAAGAACATGAACGAGGAAAATAAAAGAACAGGGATGAGGAGAAAAAAGACCATGAAAGAGGAGAATGAAAGAACAGGAAATGAGGAGAAAGAACAGGAACGAGGAAAATAAAAGAACAGGGATGAGGAGAATAAAAGACCATGAAAGAGGAGAATGAAAGAACAGGGAATGAAGAGAAGAAGAATAGGAACGAGGAAAATAAAAGAACAGGGATGAGGAGAATAAAAAGACCATGAAAGAGGAGAATGAAAGAACAGGAATGAAGAGAATAGAAGAACAGGAACGAGGAAAATAAAAGAACAGGGATGAGGAGAAAAAGACCATGAAAAGAAAGAATGAAAGAAACAGGAATGAAGAGAAAGAAAAAACAGGGAACGAGGAAAATAAAAATGAAAGGGATGAGGAGAATAGAAAAAGAATGAAAAAAAGGAGAATGAAAGAACAGGAATGAGGAGAGGAGAAAAGAACAGAACGAGAAAAAAAAAAGGAAGAACAGGGATGAGGGAGAGAAAAAAAAAGAAAGAGAAAAGAACAGGAATGAAGAGAAGAAGAAAAAGATGAAAAATAAAAGAACAGGGGATGAGGAGAATAAAAAGACTATGAAAAGAGGAGAATGAAAGAACAGGAATGAAGAAAGAAAAAGAATGAGGAAAAATGAGGATGAGGAGAAATATGAAAGAGGAGAATGAAAGAACAGGAAATGAGGAGAATAGAAGAAAGAAAAAAAAATGAACAGGAACAGGGATGAGGGAGAATAAAAGAAAGAAAGAGGAGAATGAAAGAACAGGAATGAGGAGAAAAAGAACAGGAACGAGGAAAAAAAAAGAACAGGATGAGGAGAATAAAAGAGAATAGAAGAGGAAGAGGAGAATAAAAAGAACAGGAATGAAGAGAAAAGAAGAAGAATGAAAGAAGGAAAAAGAATAAAAAAGAACAGGAAAATAAAAGAACAGGGATGAGGAGAATAAAAAGACCATGAAAAAGGAGAATGAAAGAACAGGAAGAGGAGAATGAAGAACATGAAAAAAATAAAAGAACAGGGATGAGGAGAATAAAAGAATGAAAGAGGAGAATGAAAGAAGAACAGGAAATAGAAGAAAAAACGAGGAAAAGAACAGGGATGAGGAGAATAAAAGACCATGAAAGAGGAGAATGAAAGAACAGGAATGAGGAGAGAAGAAGAACAGGAACGAGGAAAATAAAAGAACAGGGATGAGGAGAATAAAAAGACCATGAAAGAGGAGAATGAAAGAAGGAATGAAGAGAATAGAAGAAAGAACGAGGAAAATAAAAGAACAGGATGAGGAGAGAAGAAAGGAATGAAGAGAAAGAAAAGAAAGGAAAGGGGAGAAGAGGAGAAAGAACAGGAAAAGAAGAAAATGAAAAGAGGAAGGGAATGAGGAGAATAAAAAAGAAAGAGGAGAATGAAAGAAAGGAATGAAGAGAATAGAAGAACATGAATGAGGAAAAATAAAAGAACAGGGATGAGGAGATAAAAGAAAGGAAAGAGGAGAATGAAAGAACAGGAATGAAGAGAGAAGAAATGAATGAGGAAAATAAAAGAACAGGGATGAGGAGAATAAAAGACCATGAAAGAGGAGAATGAAAGAACAGGAATGAGGAGAATAGAAGAATAGGAATGAGGAAAAATAAAAGAACAGGGATGAGGAGAATAAAAGAACAGGAAAGAGGAGAAAGAAAGAACAGGAAAGAGAATAGAAGAAAAGAATGAGGAAAAAGGGATGAGGAGAATAAAAGAAATGAAAGAGGAGAATGAAAGAGGAATGAGGAGAATAAAGACCATGAACGAGGAAAATAAAAGAACAGGAATGAGGAGAATAAAAGAAGAACAGGAAAGGAGGAAAATAAAAGAACAGGGATGAGGGAGAAAAAAAAGAATGAAAAGGAGAATGAAAGAGGAGAATAGAAGAAAGAACAGGAATGAGGAGAATAAAAAAGAAAATGAAGATGAGGAGAAGGAAAAGGAAAAAAAAGAGAAGGGAAGAGGAAGAGGAAAAACAGGGATGAGGAGAGAAAAAGAACAGGAAAGAGGAGAATGAAAGAACAGGAATGAAAGAATAAAGAAGAACAGGAACGAGGAAAATAAAAAAAGAACAGGGATGAGGGAGAATAAAAGACCATGAAAAGGAGAATGAAAGAACAGGAATGAGGAGAATAGAAGAACAGGAACGAGGAAAATAAAAGAACAGGGATGAGGAGAATAAAAGACCATGAAAGAGGAGAATGAAAGAACAGGAATGAAGAGAATAGAAAAACAGGAACGAGGAAAATAAAAGAACAGGGATGAGGAGAATAAAAGACCATGAAAGAGGAGAATGAAAGAACAGGAATGAAGAGAATAGAAGAACATGAACGAGGAAAATAAAAGAACAGGGATGAGGAGAATATAAGACTATGAAAGAGGAGAATGAAAGAACAGGAATGAGGAGAATAGAAAAACAGGAACGAGGAAAATAAAAGAACAGGGATGAGGAGAATAAAAGACTATGAAAGAGGAGAATGAAAGAACAGGAATGAAGAGAATAGAAGAACAGGAACGAGGAAAATAAAAGAACAGGGATGAGGAGAATAAAAGACTATGAAAGAGGAGAATGAAAGAACAGGAATGAGGAGAATAGAAAAACAGGAACGTGGAAAATAAAAGAACAGGGATGAGGAGAATAAAAGACCATGAAAGAGGAGAATGAAAGAACAGGATTGAGGAGAATAGAAGAATAGGAACGAGGAAAATAAAAGAACAGGGATGAGGAGAATAAAAGACCATGAAAGAGGAGAATGAAAGAACAGGAATGAGGAGAATAGAAGAACAGGAACGAGGAAATTAAAAGAACAGGGATGAGGAGAATAAAAGTCCATGAAAGAGGAGAATGAAAGAACAGGGATGAGGAAAGTAAAAAAACAAGAATAAGGAAAATAAAAGTACAGGAAAGAGGAGAACAAATGTACGGGAATGAGGATAATAATAGTACGGGAATTAAGACAGACGATATGTATTGACGTGGCACTTTAATGTTTGAACATCAAATCTGACTGGAAAACAAGAAACTGAAAAAGTGTTCCACAAACAAGAAGTGCGAGAGAAGAAACTTAGCATAGAAAGAACGGTTATATCTAACAGTTTGAATAACTACAAAACATATTTAGTAATATTTCATCACCACAAAGCAGACCCTAAATTTACTCCAATCCTAACGAGCGGACATATCGCCCACACGGCCACTTACTTCGATTACCTATTTAGTCTTAAGCACGTTAAAACCCTCAAATGGAACGTGTATATTCGTGCCAACACTAAAGAGTATGAAGAGAATGGCTGCTTCCTTATCTCAATCCAGAAAATCTGTCATCTGTCTTGCCCTCTTTTTAGTTAAATCAAAACAATAATGGAGTATTGTTGTCGTATGTCTTTTGGGGCGCCCAGTCGTCGGTGTCCAAACTTGATAGATTTCAAAAACGTTTACACCACCATGTGAGTGATGAATTATTTGTCGTCCTCAAGACTTATCCTACAGAAGAAACATTTAGCTTGTCTCCCATTACTTATTATCACATCTGGATGTTATAACGACTTACATTCCATAGTTTTACCAGCAGAGACCATTGCACCAAGACCCGCTTTTCCTCGTTCAAATAGTCTAATGTTAATGTTTATTGTTCGGTTTTCCTTCAAGTCCTCTCGACCGTCTCAGTCATTGTCAAGAACTGGGTATTGTTAGTTTGGTAGACAAGGTTTTGTTGTTTATATATTGGATAATTTTTGTGAACGTTGAAATAAAATTAATGTAGCAAAAAACAAAAATGTCGGACCATATGTGAATTTTTGATCACTTTCTACAACATTTAAACATTTTTGATTGAATTAAATTAAAACTAAGTTTTTTGATGCCTAATTATAGTTTAAGAGAAATGTCAAATAAAAAAAAATGTCGAATTAAATATATGTAAAAAATTCAGATATAAATAAAAGATCTAAAAAATACTGCATGATGAAAAGGTGACAGACATATACACTAATAAAAGAACAAAGATTAACCCATTATCTATTTGTTATCTATATCTGTCTCCATTATCTATAACTTTCTATTCATTGTCTGTCTGTCTGTCTATCTATCTATCTATCTATCTTCATTATCTATATATCTGTATATCTCTATCCCTTCATTCGCTATATCCACATCTATCCATTATCTATATCTAACTCAATCACTATTTATTATTTATTTATGTCTATTCATTATCTATCTACTGGGTACGATGAATAAATTGTCGATTAATTACTTAAAGCTTAAAATAACACTGATATCTCATTTTAACGGATATATTTGCCAAAATTACACAAAAATATCTTGATATACTAAAGAGTAAATTTGTTTAATAAAATCGCCATTGGCTTCAACCACGGCCTCCAAACGACTTCGGAATCTCTTGCATCAATTCTGGGCGGTCTCCTTGTTTAGGTTAGTGAATACTGCCAGAATCCTTGCTTTAAGTTCATCTTTGGTGTTGTTATATATATATTCATTATATCTGTACAAATATATAGAAAAAATAAGAAAGAACACTTTAGGTTAATAATCCGAAGTTCTTTAGTATTTTTGTTTTTATTTTTAAAAGACAGTGCTCAATACAAAAGTAGAGCCTTAATTATAATATATATATATATATTCATTATCTATTTATTATCCTATCTATCAATCTATCTATCTATCTACATTTTTATCTGTTCGTAAACATTACAAGTATATTTAATAAAATTAGAAATTTTGGAACTTTTAAGTTAATTTTCGTTCGTTCTTTTTTTTCGACAAAGATAAAAGGTCGTTTGATGACGATTAATTAATTTTCTGCTTCTTCACAATGTCTATCTGTGTCACTGCTATATTAAATCTATGAGCCATAATCTCTGGCAACATATCCACACTTGCAATTCATGCATATCTCTATTATCTACAAAGTTGCATATCCATGATTAATGTGTCGCAGGTGCCTCTTTTTCTCCCGGCACTTTCTCAACGGCCATATGCAATCGTGATTACGTCAAACAATGATATATGTTGTCCACGCATGCTCTGTAGATATTGACTCGGACGGTTAAAATAGAAGCTATTTGGCGGCCTGACATCTTTACAACGAAAGAATAAACGAATAATTTTATGAGTACGGTCACAGGTCTGAGAATTGGCGCGTCAGTGTAAGTGAAAGGATCGTCTTTATGATGGACAAAATTGTATTTGGCTTTGAAATTATTCTTCTACGACGTTTGTATTTGTCTATCTCTTCACTGTGACAGCAGATAACGTAATTGTTGAATTGATATTCATTTGTCCTTATGTACACATAGGTTTTTCTTCGTGAAACTAATAAAATATGCTGACACTCTCGCATAAAGCGAACCAGTTAAATAGAAAAACGTGTCTGAAAGGACTTAGTGCCTCTTTGATGTCGGTATTCGCCAGTAAAATTGCAGCCTCTCATAGCACAAATATATATTTAAAAGGCTATGTCGTTAGTAATCTTATTCAGTAGGGAGTTACATGATAACTTGCTCCTGTTTCATCCTGGGTATGACGATGAACTACATCCAGCAGCAAGGCGTCTAGTCTGGAGGTTTTGAGGAGTGTAGAACTATCTCTGAAATGCTGTTTTTACTAGATCCACCATGCCCAGGGTTGGTAGCATCTGTTAGGGTCCCAGCTATGGGCAAAATAGCTAATTCCCCTCACTGGTGTCAAAACACTATGAAAGTATAAAAATAAATTTTTAGAGTAAAAATACCAGCAATACGTTTTTGATAAAAAATATTACCAGCAATTCATTTTTAGAAAAAAAAATGTTACCAGCGACAGAATTGACTCTTGGCAAAAATCGTCTTTACAAAAATACATTCATGAGCCATAATCTACAAACTGATTTCTTACAAAGGATACATATTCTATTCATACGAACCTAAAAAAAACTTGTCGGCATTAAATTTTACGGACCTACATGTTTCACCCATATATTTTAGGTCACAGTTTTTGCATGATATTTGATAGATGCAAGCATCGGATGTAATATGTTGTCTGCTGGTGCTATTTAATAAACTAGGGATAGTCTTAGTAGGTAATATAGTAGTTCTAATTTTTAACGTATCTCTCATGATCTAAATGCATTAAAAATTAGAACTGCTATATTACCTACTAGGACTATCCGTAGTTTATTAAATGCTTTAGTTGTACACACAACTAAAGCAGATCATAATTTCGATTTCGATTCCGTGAAGGTATTAAAATATTTTCATAATAAAAATCTCAGGAGGATTTATGAAGCAGGTATAATATCCATCTCACGCACCGTGAATACTAGACCTGGTTTCTTTAATATTTCCCCTTTTTTAGCGAGATTAATGCTCGACAAGCATACACATAAAAATTTTAGATCCTAATAGAATTCTTTTCATTTTCTTTTTCATTTCAAAATAATCAAAGATTTTTAGGAATACGTTTTGAAAGAGTCACCCATGTGACGACAACGTGACCTTGTTAAACGGAAAGCTGATCATTTTAAAAATTTTCAGTTATCTGTTTTGGATAAGACTTGTTTTTTATGTCCATCGTCTTTGTCAAATTGAACTGAATTGTATTTTAATGAATATTGTCTTGAAAAAGGTTTATTAAACCAAAACGTCAGACGTCGACATTTCATTCATTTTAAACAAAATAATTGCATTTAAGGATTTTTGTTTGTTTTTTCCAAATTTTCTTCATATATATATATATATATATATATATATATATATATATATATATAACCTCTAAATTTAAAGGATTGAAATTCCTTACTGAATCAGGATATTAATATTTTAAATATAGGTCAAAGTTATTTTAAATATGAGATTTGCAGCTGTGCTTAGTTCTGTCTAGAATCTTTTATCTCATTTTTTTCTCTCGTTCTTTGAAATTCCTTCCTTTTAGACATTTTTTTCTCTTACTTTGTCGTCCTTTCCTTTTTCTTCCTTCCGGTTTTTTTTTTAAGTTTAAAAATTTTAAACTTTCATTTCATATTATCTTCAAACCCTTTGGTGTTGACAAATCTCGGAATATTTATCTCTTACGTGGATTAATCACTTACGGGTAGAAATGGCCATACAATATTAAATATTTTCCTAGCTATAAATCTCATTCTTCCACTCAATTACTTGTACAATTAAGAGTTGGAGTGTCACTTTTTCAAAATATTAAATGGAACATGGAGAGGAGGCTACTCTAATTTTCTGGATTGGTGCAAGAGTAAGAACCTGAGTCTGAATTGTTTCAAAAACAGTTAGACAATAAAACCCCGATGGAAATGTTTGTATTTCAAAGCAAGATTTTCCCTGGATGCATTATTTTCGATGGCGAGTTTACTAAGTGAACATGGAATAAGTTTTTTTTTAATTTATTTGAAAGATAAGGGAAGGATCTATAATTGAGCAAGGTATAAATCCTGAATTCAACTGTCAACACTAGTTGGCAAGCTTTCAAAAAAGGCCTAACAATTTGTTATTTCCGATGGAGTGCAGATTTTTGTCAAATAGGAATTATGTGGGTTTTGAGCAGTTCAACGTTTTTCCCTAAATCATCAGATGATTGTACACATTTTTTTTTCTAGAGCTAATTGTTTAAATCCTGTGGGTCGCAATATCCATGGTAGTGTTTTCTTCATGTGTAAGACTAAAAATATCAACTGACTATAATAATTCATGAACTAAAAGTCGATAGAAGCTAAACTTTTTGGGTATTTCGT